AATGGCGAGTTAAAACCAACCTAGTGGATTTAACAGCCCCACTTACTAGCTCACAACCTGACACAAGTTCCTCGTCTTCTCCGAGCCTTGGTGCCCTCCTCTGTCAAAGGGAAGAATAATCCAGACCTTCGGGCTGGGCTAATTAAGATAATGTCTTAAAGAAAATAAGCAAATGCATTCACAGTAAGGTGGTTATATTGAAGGTGAGAAATTTCAGTGTTTAGACACTTGTAGGTATATTGTATCCATTTTCAAATGGAGTTGGCCCTCCCTATCTGAGGGTTCTGCATCTGCCGACTCAACCAACCTCGACAGAAAATATTTGAGGGAAAAAAACAAGAAAAGATGATACAACAATAAAAACAATTTTTAAAAATATAGTATAACTATTTACGTAGGATTTATGTTCAATTTTATAAGTAATCCAGAGATGACTTAAAGTATATGAGAGGATATAGGTTACAGCAAATACTATGTCATTTTACATCAGGGACTTGAGCATGCTCAGATAATAGCTGCTCGGTGTAAAAAATACATTTCCTTGGCAAGAATTTCAACAAAAGCTAACAAGCTATCCCAAACCTAGGCAGTATTCACAGAAATACTACTCAGATCTAGGAAGGATACAGTTATTAAACAGAAACAAAACCTGAAATTTATAGATCACATTCTAAACCAGGTACCTCTCCAGGAGGGTGACTAAAATTGTTAAGAATCTAGAAACACCATGTTGTAAGACAAACAATTCGAAGAACATGAACTGTGTGACCTGGAGAACTGAACATTAGAAGGACCACACTTGAAGCAGCCTTGAAGTATCTGAAGAGCTGTCTTTGTTGTCCTAGAAATGGTTAAAAAACAAAACCACACCAAAACCCACAGGGTTGGATTTCATCTCAATGTTAGGAAGTCTCTCCCTCGCCCAGACCCCACACCCTCTCCAAAAATAACAAACAACAATTTGAGCTCATGCCATTTATGCAAAGCTTAAGTTATTTGATATTTTTTGGAGACTGGACTGGAGGACTTCTAAGTTCTCTTTCAAGGTAGAGTCTTTGACTGTGCTTTAAGGCCAGGAGCCAAAGGAGAAAGAGGACCAGTGATCAGCACAGCAACATTAACAATATCTGGTCAATAAATATGTGTTGAATGAATAAAAAAATTAGTGAAGAGGCCCTAAATTTGGCCTAAGAGATCCACTGTTCACCTTCACAAACCTGTGGCCAAGAAGAGTGACAGGGAAAGAAGTCAGACAGCTAAGGAAATAGTCAGGGGCAAAAGGGAAGCAGCAGATCCTTCCTGAATATGTTAAGCTGAAAACCAACATGTTCAAATATAAAAAAAGTTTCCACCTTGAAAATATCTAATGAACAAAAGCTGTCTTAATAGAAAACCAAGCTAAGATGAAAAAAAGTACAAAAATGCTTTGCCCTCAAATTATTCTTTTTTTTTTTTTTTTTTGATACAGAGTCTCACTCTGTTGCCCCGGCTACAGTGCCTAGCTCACAGCAACCTCAAACTCCTGGGCTCAAGGGATCCTTCTGCCTCAACCTCCTAAATAGCTGGGACTACAGGCATGCGCCACCATGCCCGGCTAATTTTTTCTACATATTTTTAGTTGTCCAATTAATGTCTTTCTATTTTTAGTAGAGACGCGTGCTCAGGCTGGTTTCGAACTCCTGAGCTCAAACAATCCGCCCGCCTCGGCCTCCCAGAGAGCTAGGATTACAGGCGTGAGCCACCGCGCCTGGCCCCTCAAATTATTCTTTAAAGAAAACTGTCAATAAGTGAAAAATAAACTTTATTATATTTGAAGGGAGTCTGTTCCTTTTAGATCACATGCAGCAATTGTCCATTGCCTTTAAAAAGTTTAAGTTGTACATGATATTGAATGATTCTATTTAGATTATAAGCACATCATTAGTAAATTGCCTCAAATTTTGGCATTAGGCAGATCTTGTAATAGACTAGCTCTGTGTCAGAAATTACTTTTCTTTTTTTTTTGAGACAGGGTCTCCCTCTGTTGTTTGGACTAGCTAGAGTGCAGTGGCATCATTATATCTCACAGCAACCTCAAACTCCAAGGCTCAAGCTATCCTCTTGTCTCAGCCTCCTGAGTAGCTGGGGCTACAGCTGTGTGCCACCATGCCCAGCTAATTTTTCTATTTTTTTGTAGAGACAGGGGTTTCATTATGTTGCTCGGGCTGGTCTTAAAACTCCTAGACTCAAGCAATCCTCCCACATCCTCCCCAAATACTAGGATTACTGATGTGAGCCACCATGCCTGGCTAAAAATTGCATTTTAAATCAGCTCTCAGATGATTTTTAAGCACATCACATATTTGAGAATCACTGTTTACAACGAAGGTATCAATCCAAGAAGGGCACAAATCTTGCAGGAGTCTAGAAAGCCCAGATCTTTATACAGCAGGCACCCGCTACTCAGGTCTCAGATCCAATGTTACCTCTTCAGAGAGGCCCTCACAGCTGCTCACTCCATCACAGCAAATTTTTTTTTTTTTAATTTTTGGAGCAGGGCAGGGGAGCAGGCAGGGACTTTGCAGTCCTGCACCCTGAAAGCCCAGGAACATCACAGCAAATTTGTTTTATTTTCAGAGCAAATTTCCCCCTCATACCTAAAATTATTATTTTTTCTTTCTTTTTCAGTGCTACCATCTCCACCCCATCTCAAATGCCAGCTTCACAAGCACTCAGATGTCTGTCTTGACCATGACCTATCACTGGTCCCTGGAACAAAGTGATGTTCAATCCACACTTAATAAAACCAACAGTCCACATTGGAGGTGGGATTTCAATCCAGCAGTGAATGCCTTGAAGTTCTCCATATAGTTAACACCCAGTAAGTGTGTTTTTTTCCAAGTTCAGCTCAGCAAAAGTAGTTAAGTGCTTAGAGTGTGAGAGAAAGGGGAAAAAAAGTACAAACAGTATAGGCATCACTTGGGAGCTTGTTAAAAAGGCAGAATCAGCTGGGCAAGGCAGCGCACGCCTGTAGTCCTAGCACTCTGGGAGGCCTAGACACGAGGATAGCTTGACCTCAGGAGTTCAAGAACAGCCTGAGCCAGAGTGAGACCCTACCTCTACTAAAAATAGAAAAAATTAGCTGGGCATGTTAGCACCTGCCTGTAGTCCCACCTACTCGGGAGGCTGAGGCAGGAGGATCACTTGAACCCAGGAGTTGGAGGTTGCAATGAGCTATGAGAACACCAATACACTCTAGCGGGGGCAACAAAGGGACATTCTATCTCCAAAAAAAAAAGAAAAGAAAAGAAAAGAAAAGAAAAGAAAAGAAAAGAAACGCAGAATCCCAGCCCCAACCCTGACCTATGAATCAGAATCTGTATTTTAACAAGATCCTAGGTGATTCATACCACAGTCAAGATTGGAAGCACTGGGTTACAGAACAGTGCAAGGCTAGAGGCTAAAAGGCATAACAAAAATCTGCACAGTCTATTTACTCTATTTCCATAAATAGTAATTTGGATGGAAAAAGCCCACTAAATATTCTAATCAAGTAAGCCTTAAATAACTGAAGAAAACTTCCAGGCCATGGCACACACCTGTAATCCTGGCACTCTGGGAGGCTGAGGTAGGAGGATTGCTTGAGCTCAGGAGTTAGAGACCAGCCTGAGCAAGAATGAGACCCCTTCTCTACTAAAAATAGTTTAAAAAATTAGCCGGGCATGGTAGGGCTTGCCTAGAGTTCCAGCTACTCCGGAGGCTGAGGCAGGAGGATCACTTGAGTACAGGACTTTGAGGTTGCAGTGAACCCCCATAAGGGTTCACTCATTTTAAAATAAAGTTCTAATAAGATCTGCCTTTTAGCGTTGTTGGTATGATTAAATGATACAAAATACAAAATGTTTTTAGCACAGTGCCTCATATATAGGAGGGACTGCCTATTATTTCTCTAAATAGTCTGGAAGCTGTAGAAAGGTAGAGAATCTGTTTTACCTAACTTCCTATCCTCCTCTCCATCTCCTAACAAAGGAGGCACCTAATAAATAAATGCAAAACTACAAAAGAAAAAAAAAGGTTGCTTTGTCTGAGGTGAAATCTATTCCTGAGGCCCCATCATTTAAAATGTCTATTTTAAAGCACCACTAAGAAAAAAAGATTCCTATGTACAGTGCAAAAGAACTACTGTTACACTTAGGAATGCGTATTTTGAGAACCTACCTCCGTCTGGAACGAACTAGTTTTCAATCACAGCAGGAATCACCAGAACTGCCTTAATGGGAAGCGTTTCTGTTTTCCAGGGATCCCAATAATACACCCGTTGTGCGTGAGGGCCACACACTAACTTGCCTGGAGAGCTGCCTCTTCCCCACCCTGGGTAACTCCCCAAGTGGGCACTTCGCCCGGCGAGCCCCAGGTCCCGCCTGAGGATGCCGCGGCTTCTCCTCGGACTCAGTCGCTCCACTGAGGACGCGAGGGGCTCGGAGTCGCTCCCAGCCCCAAGGTGCAGAGGCCATTTTGCCCCTCAACCCCCCGCCCCGAGCACATTTTCCCTGGCGCAGGCGACGTGTGGGCGGGGTGCACGCGAGGCTGGCCGGCCCTGGAGGTTTAAAACCCCGCGGCCGGCCGCGTGCGGGTCCCGGCGTCCGTGCGCCCCGCGATGCCCAGGGGCAGCCCGGCGGGGCGCGCCCAGGCCGGCCGAGCAGGCACCGCCCGAAGGCAGGTCCGCCCACCTGTTCGCAGCCTTTTTGGTCACGGATGAGCATGCGAAGCGCGAGCAGCTTCCCTCGAAGTCCAGCCTCACTCGAAATTAACTCCCCACCCCCCCAGCTTAAATCGACGCGGGTTTACACAACTCCCACTAAGTGGATTCAAGATAGCCAGTGTGGCCTACACCGTGACTCCAGGAATATTTCACAGATTATATTTGGCCACCCCTTCTCCCCAGGATACCCAAAGGGGTGTGTGGGGGCGAAAATGATGAGGTCCCCCCTGGATCTAAGCCTCCCCGGCCAGCGACTGGCTCATGTGCTCCAGCCCTCGGGACAGGACCCCCCCAGGAGCCGGGCGCAACAATCCCCCCCCTTGAAGACCACAAAAACTGCAGCCCCAGAGCTGATGGCAAGATTCTCGCTGCTCACTGATCTCCCGCTCCCATAAAAGCGAAAAGTTGTCCGCGACGCCTGGGCACTGGTAGCTTTAAGCCTTTCCCGGGAATAAAGCACATCGGCGGTTCCAAGTCTCCCCTCGCCCCGGAAGGCAGCCTCCCAAGTCACTCGGCGCTGCTCTCCGCGGACCCGCGCCTCTCGGTTCCCGCGAGCCCCAGCCCTCAGGCGAAACCGCCACCGAAACCAGCGCCGAGCGTCCTCCGCCCGCGCCTCCCCCACCGGCCACAGGCGACGCAGTCCCCCCGCAGGGACTCTCAGGCTACCGTGCGCCCCTGGCACCGCGCCCGACTCCCACCCACTCACCGCACCTGGGCCCGACCCACCAGGGACCGCAGGAGCCAAGGAGCGCTCTCACCTGGCCGGCGCGCCAGACGCCGCGCGGACGGCCAGCTAGCAGCTAAGGACAGGGCTGGGGACTCAGCCCTCCTCCTTCTCCCCACCCCGGCCGCCCTGCCCCCGGGCATGCGCACCAACTCCAGGCCGGGTGGAGGGGTGCCGGAGGCCCGCGGCCCCGCGCTGGCTAGTCCCACCTGCTGCTCCGGGGACTGGCTCCTCGGCGCTCTGGCTCGCTCTCCCGGGAGTCCTGCCGCCTGCGCCAGGGGAAGCAGGGAGGGGAAAGTGGGCGCTGGCGAGAAGGTGTGGTGTGGCCGGCCTCCTTCCTCAGTGACCCATTCACCTGAAACTCCGATGGGAGGGAGGGGGAGGAGGGGAGCGGTGAAGGAGGAGGCGGGAGGACTCAGTCCTTCTCCTTACACCCTTCCCGCGCGGTGTTAAAGGAACAGCGCTGCGTTCTGGCCCGTGGGGAGGGGACGTAGGGGGGACGCAGAGGAGGGACTCGGGCTATCCAGGGGCAGGAGGTGGTCCCGCACCACCTGGAGAAGCGCTCCGAGCTCCGCCTGCTTCGGGTAGAACCGTGGAGTGTTGGACTGGGAGAGGCGGGGTAAGGTCTAGGGGGCACTGTTTTCCTCCTGAAAGAGGGTCCAAGGGTGCTCAGCACAGGACACTTTCCTGCTCCCAAAGTTTGATTAAACTTTTATTGCAAAATACCCAAATGTGTTGCTCCAACGAACGACTTCTGGAAAAATTTCAAGTCATGCGTAAGTTTTGGAGCTATTTCTGAATCTCTGGATTCAGAAAGACAATTAGAGTGGTTCAAATGAAGGTAAACTGCTGTAGACACTGGTGTCAGTCAGTTCGCCATCAAGCAAGCGAAAGTTCATAATACAGTTTACACATCACCACTTCAGGGTCTTCTCCTCCCCACCCCCGCTCCAAATGTAATTGTGGTATGATTGAGAGACTGCTCTTGGGGAGGATTTGAACTACTTTAATATTCTCTCAAAAAAAACACAAAACCTTAGTTCTGGTTGCTACGTTGCATTTCTTGATCTGGATGCTGGTTCCACAGGAGTGTCCACTTTGTAAAATTCAAAGTGTACACTTTTATGTGTTTGTTGTATCTCAATTTTTAAAAAAAAAAAAAATTGTACTCCAGGATGTGAAAATTTTAGTTCGAATTTATCTGCACCGAAGGCTAAAATTTAGATTTCTTAAATCCTGCTTCCCTTTGTGTTCCAATCTGGAATGTCAGCATTGCTAATAAATTTCTGTCCAACCCAACCAATTCTTTACCTTTAATTAAGTGGTTAGAGATGTGACTCTCCCATACCTTAGCTCTTAAGGCACAATTCATAATTAAGGAAGTAAAAGCATTATATAAATATGAGATATTTTAAATGATGACAGCTTTAACAGGTAATTAATTTAATTGGTATTTTTTCATGGAAGTCATTGCTACAATTACTTTAATATGACCACGTAGTTTTTGAATGATGTAGTTTAAATTGGTATTGTTAACACTGGGGAGTCAGGTTAATCCTCTTAATGTTCGCTGTCAGATTACCGAAATCTGCAAACATTCCATTCGGTTTATAATTAAACAAGGGAACATTTCCTAATACTCTCAGATTTGTAAACACATGTCTATTATTTTATAATGTATTTTGACATGTTCTGAAGAGGAGATCTTAGGAGTTTTTTTTCCACTTTATAAAAGAAATAGAGTTCACATACCATAAAATTCACCCTTTTAAAGTGTGCATACAATTCAGTGATTTTTAGTATATTCACAAGGTTGTACAACCATCACCACCATCTAATTCCAGAACGTTTTCATCACCCCAAAAAGAAACCCCATACCCATTAGTAATCACTCCCCATAGTCCCTCCCCCTCAGCCCCTGGCAACCACTAATGTACAATCTGCCTCTGTCATTTTGTTTATTGTGGACATTTTATATGAATGGATAATACAATATGGGGCCTTTATGCCTGTCTTTCACTTAGCATAAAGTTTTCAAAGTTCATCCATGATGTAGCATGTACCAGTACTTCATTCCTTTTTATCGCTGAATATTCCATTGTATGAATATATCACACTTGGTTTATTCATTCATCAGGTGATGGACATTTGTGTTTTATTCCTTTTTGGCTATTATGAATGATGGTACTATGTACATTCACGTACAAGTTTTTGTGTGGACAAATGTTTTCAATGCTCTTGGGTAAATTAGGTTTTTAATTAAACATTTTTTATATCATCTATATCATGTTATTTTTCTTATTTCCATCCTAAGCCTAAACCCAAAGGCATGTTATGTTGGGTGGAAGGTTAGTTTTCATATTTTATTTGTTTTCCTAATTCATTCCTTCAACAACTTGTTTTTTTGGTTTTTTGTTTGTTTTTGGAGAGGGGATCTCCTTATGTTGCTCTGCTGGTCTGGAACTCTTGGCCTCAATCAACCCTCCCACCTCAGTCTCCCAAGTAGCTGGGATTACAAGCAAAAGCCACTGCGCCCAGTGTTTCAACAACTGTTTTTGGAGTGTCTGCTGTGTGTACAGTGGTGAACAAAACCCCCAAATCCTTGTCTTAGTGAAACTTACTTTCTAGTTACTGCAGAATTCATCCATGTAGAATAATAGAATTTATTAAATTGAACTATATGAAATTGGCAATAGTCGATCATTTTTAATCTCAAAAATTGCAACTTCATATGGTTCAACTTAATACTAAACTAAATTTCTTTTCTTTTTTTTTTTTTAAGACTAGTCAAGTGCAGTAGTGAGGAGAGGGGAAAGTAGTAGAACAAGGAATTCAGTCTGTAACTGACTGAACAATCAAGTGATATAACTCACTACCTTCGGACCAGCCTAAACTAAATTTCTATTGAAATGTTGTATACCATTTTTATTCAGTTCAGGTTAATTTTCCAAACAACACTCACAACTTTGAAAGAAATGTGTTAACTATTGCCTAATATCGTGCATATTAGGTAGTAGTTGAAAGTGTCTAGAAAGAAAATCCAGCCTTAAACACATCATTCTTCAATAGCAAAACAAAATTCATTGGATGACAAATGATGCCATGTCTAATTTAATCATGTTACATAATCATCAATTGTAGCAAAATTTAATTGGTTTTTTACCAACTAAAATATACCAAAAATATAGTTTTTTACCAAATATTCCTTCTTGGCAACTCATAGTATTATTATCCACTATTGCATATTATTTGATGAAAATCCTCATGACTCAAAAACGAGTAAATATTATTTTCAGAGGATCCTATGATTAGAAATTTATTGACCTTACCTACAGTCAAACAAATGATAAGATGAAAAAACAATTTTTTCCTCCTTTTTATATGTAAAGGAGAAAGTGGAGAGCTCAAATTATGGTGTTAGAAATCTGAGTTCAAATTCCAGCATTGCCACTTGGTAGCTGGATAGAACGAAGGGAAATTAAACTACATAAGCCTCATTTTTCTCCATTGTAAATTTGGGACGATAGTAAATATTAATAGTACTCTCTTTATAAGGTTGTCGGGAGGCACAAGGAACATTAACTAAGATAGACTGACTATATGCTGGGCCGTAAAACAAGTCTCAATAAATTCAGCAAGTCATGGATGTATCCCATGTGCGTGAAATAGTCCCTGTCACACAGGTACTCCATAACTATTTGCTGAATGATTAAATGACTATAACCCTGATTCCCAAGTCCAACATGCCTGTAGAGTCTTGTTCATCTCTCGGATAGCCTCCTGTCATTGTAAAGCCTGCACATTCCTTAATAGCATTTCAAGGCTTACATCTCTAGAATGGAGGTTAAGAGGAGAAAATAAGGGAGATTAAAATGTTTCCACTCCACCTCACCTGCTTAGTGAAGGAATTCAACGACTGGTATTTCTTCAAGGGCAACTCAGTTTGGAGTTGCTCAGGGCCTGGCCGGAAAGACCTCTACATTTCCCCACCCAATTATGAGGAGGGAGGCTCCTCGTCCACAGAGGAGTTTCCTTGGACAGATTTATGTAAGAACTTATGGGGAAGTCACCAGGAAGGCAATGTCTAAGAGGATAATTACACTGCGTGAGGAAACCTCTATCTCCTCGGTTGCTATGTATTAAGCAAGATCCTCCCCTCAGGGAATCTAAGGTTAAACCAAGAGAGTCAGCACCTGAACAGGAACTTCAGCAAATGGAATAATAATAGTAGCCATCATCTGCTCAGGGAAAAACACGTGCCAGGCACTGTGCTAAGTGTTTTATGGGATTTTTAAATTTTTTGTCTTTAAACAACCTTATCATGTACTATTAGCATTATTTTCCCCATTTTATCTTTTTATTTTCCATACTGATTATCAGTATGTATCTCCATTTTATGCTTTGGAGAACTAAAGCTCAGAAAGGTTTGATCATTTACTTGAGTTATACAAGTTGTAGAGTCAGGATTCAAAATACAGGTCATCTGATTCCTGAACTAATGTTCTCAACAGTTTTACTATATTTTAGGGCCATTTTTTGTCTATAGGCAATGGTCTGTTTTTTTTTCCCTGGGT